CAGTTGGTCGGGCGTGGTTATTAGGGGAGCGATTCCAGCGACAGAGCCTCAGCTTGCTCAAGCTAGTAGTCCCAATGCCGCCTCCTACATACATGAGGATCATAGAGAGATACACCATGCAGGAGATGATTGATTTCACCAGAGGTTGGGAGATCGACTTCTTCAGACTTGATGGCGATTATACTGCTTTCATCCAGACATACCTCATGCCACTGTTGACTGGCGCTCGCAATTGTGAGAAAACCAGAGCTCCAGCCGTGGGAGGGAGAGCCGGAGGATCTAGGGCGACTCAGGCCCATGACAGGAGAGGCTCCCAGACAAGGCGGAGGGCAAGATAGCCAGAGCTGCCCACCACACTGACTTGCTAGGGACGTTCTGGGGAGACTTATTAGATTCCTATTGAGTGCGCACCAGCTGGTCACGAGCTTGTCGGAGTTCGAGGCCCAACTCCGGTATGTACCATACTTTACATTTTGCACATTCAATTCGTTTCAGTTATGCTTCATAGACCACTGATCATCTCAACACATTTATAGGCATCCATAGAGTACACTGGGCAAGCTCTCGAGCTAGCGGCTTCTCTGATGGGGATGGCTCAAACGAGCATGAACCTGCTCAGCCTCTATAGGATTCCGGTAACTTCCCTCAGTTTGCACTTCATGTCATCAAATTTTCTGCTCGTACATTAGCACTTTAACTGTTCCACACTGCACTAATCTGATACATTGCACTAAAACACTGCATTGATACACTGCTCTCATACACTGCGTTCAACACTATACTCATCTTTGCATCCAATATATACCACAACTGATGCATTTAACAAACTGTCCATTTCAGGTCCCTTTTCAAATACCAGTCCCATCGGGCGCCCCAGCGGGAGCTACAGCAGGACCTTCACTGTCATGACCCGAACCTGCTCCAGTGGGTTAAGGACATAACCGGCCAATAATCATAGGATTACCTACGGCCTCAAACTAGACAAAATGTGTTTTAACAGAGTTAAAGGGGGCCAAACGGAAGCAATTTAAAAACTTTGTCCTTAGAGCTATGCTTATATGCACATCACAACATTCTATACAGACATATGTTAATAACTCACAACAGAAGGTATAGTAACATAAAGTTTTGTACAGATAGGATCATCCAAAACTAAGTCAGCTAAAAACTCAACTATATACAGACGTACATCAAAGTCCTCGCCAACATGACAAAATAGCATACAATGGCAAAAGGGCGAAGACGTGTCTCGTGCGTGAGACGCAAGGGCTGACTCTTCAAAACCTTAGTTGTTCCATACAGACTTCACTGGGGCTGGGTTTGGACTTCTCTTGGCTCACTTACAAACACATGAATGAGCGTGAACGATAGCCCAGTGAATAATATCTAATAAAGAAGTTACAAACAATATGTAGAACAACATACTTCAAACGGTCCTGGGCCCAATTCAAATTTGCATTTAACATATATATACACAATTAAAATCGAGTGACTGTGGTTTCAAACATACTGGCCTTTGGCCCATTTATCCTTCCATATCAAACTGGCCTTTGGCCCCTTTCAAACTTTTATTATGTCAAAACAGCCTCGGGCCCATTCATTCATGTCAAAACGGCCTCTGGCCCATTTACACTTTCGTGCCAAACTGGCCTTTGGCCCATGTATACTTTCATAGCAAACTGGCCTTTGGCCCATTCAGACTTTCATTCATGACAAAACGGCCTCTGGCCCATTTACACTTTCGTATCGAGCTGGCCTTTGGCCCATTTATGCTTTCGCATCAAACTGGCCCTTAGGCCTTTCAAACCTGTCATATCAAACCGGCATTTAAGCCTTTCAAACTTGTCATATCAAACTGGCATTTAAGCCTTTCAGACTTTCATTTCAAACTGGCATTTAAGCCTTTTAGACTTTCATTTTGAACTAACATTTAAGCCTTTCAAACTTGTCATATTAAACTGGCATTTAAGCCGTTCAGACTTTCATTTCAAACTGGCATTTAAGCCTTTCAAACTTGTCATATTAAACTGGCATTTAAGCCTTTCAAACTTGTCATATCAAACTTTGTCCACCATTCAAAATTAATGAACTTTACAAAACTTACATAGAAGTAAGCAATTGGACAATAACATATTTCAGATATTACTCATAGTGATCAGCTTGTGGATTTGCCCTGGAGCTTGACCCTACATATCACATAACACATATGGGTCAAAAATAACTCAATCCATTCCTTAATTCACATATTCCTCTTTATGCTTCATTATTATCTCTTTAACTCGTTTGCAATGCTTAATACATGCCTAAGAGTGCTTGCAAGTGAAAGAGAATGGAAAACGAAACACAGAGTGCGCAAACAAAATTTCAAAAAATAGGGTCCTCGCTCGAGCGTGTAATTCCCCTCTCGAGCGGACCCTTAAGGCCTGTAAAAGTACTGGTTACATCAAATCCACGCTCGAGCGGAAGGTCTGTCTACATAGCTCCCCACTGGAGCGTGTAATTCCCCGCTCGAGCAAACACCACGTCTGCAAAAAATGCTGGGAGCACGAAATTCACGCTCGAGCGGTGGTTTCCCCGCTCGAGCGGACATCAAAATTCTGGAAAACCCAGAATTGTTCTTGGGCTTCAACTTCGATGTTCAAAGGCTTCAACTCATGATTTTTGTAATAACCTGACCCTCGCATGTGCTTCTGATATGTTTAAGTCCCTTATTTTGTGCCTTTAAATGCTTGATGAAAACAATTTGTGATTTTATCTGTTGGATATGAAAAACATCTGTGCATTTAAAATGTTTAGAACAGAAATTGGGAGCCTGAGAGGTATGATAATCCGAAATTGATGTTATATTTTAGCTCAGCATAATTTTTCAGTAATATTAAGCATCTCGGGGAAATTTTAATTTGGGATGATTAAACGATTGATATTTGTCCTTATTCACATTATATATAAATCTATGTTCTTAGACCCTTGACCTAAGAAGCTTCATGTTAACTATCTCTTGAGAGAGAGGTAAAAGTGAAGAAGATTATCAAGGAGGTTTAGAATTTAAGAGACTTACACCTCAAGGTATGTAAATTTTATGTATATTATACCTTAATTACCTCCTATCTTGTCTTGGCTAGGAATTCTTGGTGTATGAGTAGAATTTTCCTTGATGTGTTGATGTTAGATTGATTTAGAGTTAAATTTCATTCTATCCCTTATCTATGTATGATCATGCCCAATTATGGACTTGGGTAATCTTATTGTATAGAATTCTCCATGTTTATGTTATGCTCATGAAATGCAAGTGTCAAGAATTGAGTTGCACTCAAATAAATATACGTTGTAATACTTTGTACAAGATTTATGTTTGGCTATAGAATCATATCTCCACATGTTATGTCTCCTAAATTACATGATGTTTAGACCATGTTTTATGACTCTAAAGATCTATTTTGGACCTTGCTGAACCCATCAAAGAATTGGATTTTGGAAGAATTTCGGACAGATTTTTGGGCAGAATCGCCGCACGTGCGGCAATTGGGGAAAATTTTGGGCCTGAACACTGTGTAAAAGGCACGTGCGGGGCATCACTGCCGCACGTGCGGGAGGGTCTGCCGCACGTGCGGGGCTCACAGCCGCACGTGCGGCCCATGTTGAAAAACATGGTTTGCTTTCTTTGACCTGTTGGACCCTCTGGGATGTGTGAAATTAATATTTGAAATTTTTACAGTGTTCCTTTATTTACCGGAAGTTAACGAATGTAGTGTGAATTTAAAATAAGGTGGAACTAATTGGTGAGTTTTGTGTGTGTAGGGCACACTTTGGGAGGAAGTAGCGTCCCACCACGACACTGTGAGTAGTAGTACATTTGTTTATCGTTAATACTTCTGGTTATTAACGTTCCGATTTCCGCAAATCCCTATCTTGACTTGTATAATGGCTGGAAATTAATGTGAATGGAAACGGGGAAGACTATGTGGGCACATCTATTATTTCTGGACCAATGGCCATTCCGTTATATTTAGGCCCAAGGCCACTCTGGTAGAAATATAGTAATGGACTAACCTTATAAGCTCTGCAGTCACATACGTATGGTTATGAGTTATGATTTAAATTATGCATTGAACTGTACAGGTGCTATTATTCACTGAGCTTTGCTCATTCCACCTTGTGTCTGTTTCTGTAGGTGCTCAACCGGGAGGTCAGTCCTAACCCCGATACCCGTCTCCCTTTTGTCAACCTAAGTATAATCAGGCACTTGGAGACGCTCGTGCATCTAGTGAAGTTTTGTTGGGCTTTTGGGTTTGTATTCTCGTTGTCGATTATAGTTGGACTGTAATTAATACTTTTGTCATACGCCCAATCCTGGGGCTGGATCTGTATATATATATATATGTATGGAACCGATGCTCGGATGTGTGTTTTGGTATATTATTTTCCTGTTATGATGTGCGTGATCCTGGCAAGTCAATAGTAGCTCAATGGATATATTTTGATGTTGTTCTTTGATAGTAAATGCTTCCATTCAGGCCCCCTATATTGTGTATATCAGGTTTAATGCCCATGTCTGCATAGGTCATGCCCGAACTTTTAGGGGCGGGTTCGGGGTGTGACAAGTGGTATCAGAGCACGAGTTGCTATCTTACACACGGATCCATTGAGCTTTAGGGTGTCTAGACCAGATTTAGGTAGCATGCATGGCATCCTAGAAGTATACGAATGATCGATTGCAACGTTAAGCATACTCTGTTAATGCTAACATTTTTTAATTATGTCTATGGTATATACTTGATTGTTGTGTAGATTATGGTGAGAACCAGAGCAGAAGACCCGGAAGATGCCACTTCTGCAAGGTTGGACAGGATGGAAAGAATGATTATGGAAATGGCATAAACCCTACGGCAACAACAACAACAGCCACAACAGCAACCACCATCACCACCGGTACCTCCACCAGTAGTACAAGATGTCCATGCTGAAGACCGAACCATTACCCTTACAAAGGAGTTCAAAAGATGAAACCGCCGTCATTCAAAGGAGGGATAGAACCAATGCAAGCCGAGGCATGGGTGTTGGGCATAGAAAAATTATTCGAAGTTTTCCCTTGCACCGAAGCCCAAAAAGTTCAACTGGCTGCTTTCACTCTTGAGGATGAGGCACGGAGATGGTGGATGCTTACGAGAACTATACATCCAGGATTAGCATGGGGCAGATTCTTGGAGTTATTTTATGATAAGTACTTTTCCCAAAGCATACGAGACAAAAAGGTGACCGAATTTGAGACTCTTCGACAAGGAAACAAGACCGTTGCTGAATATGAAGCTCAATTTGCAGAACTAGCACAGTTTGCACCTCACATGGTGGACACAGATTACAAGAAGGCGCGCAAGTTTCAAGGAGGCTTATGGAGCGCTATACTGGACAAGGTTAACATGTTGAAGCTACCCACTTATGTTGATGTGTTGGAGAGAGCTGTCATAGCAGAAGGAAACCTTGCTACTCAGAACTGAATTTCTGAATGAAAGGGGAAGAGGCAGAACACTCAGTGGTCCAAGGGGACAACTACTCCGCCAAGTAAGAAGCAAAATTCAGGGACCTCCAGCACAACTACTTCCGTTCAAGATTCAGCCCCTGTATGTTCAGAATGTGGAAGGAGACACCGTGGGGTTTGTCACCGACTGTCTGGAACATGTTTCAAATGTGGCAAAATGGGTCATTTGATAAGGGATTGTCCTCAAGAGAAGCAACAAAATAATAACAAAGCTGTTACAAGTTCAGTAGGATCTGCACCAAATTCCAACACTAAGTCAGTTGCAAAACCTGCTAACAACAAAGACACTACGTGGCAAGGTAGAGTATTTGTACTAGTTCCGGGGGATGTGCAGAATGCTGCGACAGTGGTGTCAGGTACATTTATGGTTCATGGTTATTCTGCTCATGCACTGTTTGATTCCGGCTCTACTCATTCTTTTGTGTCAAAATTATTTGCGCAAAATTTAGATAAATCTGAGGAAAATTTGTCATATGTGTTATGTGTGTCTTCACCTTTGGGAGACACTATGGTTTGCACTTCTGTTTATTTTGCTTGTGAACTCCAATTTGGGAATATCCGGGTATATGCCAATTTGCTACCTCTTAATATGACTTATTTTGATATTATTCTGGGAAGGGACTGGTTGAGCGAATATTGTGCGACTATTGACTGTTTGACTAAGCAACTCAGTTTCCACCCTCCGAGACAATCAGAATTTACCTTTCAGGGACATGGAGTGACTTCTCCACCTTATTTGATTTCTGCAATAAAGGCCTGTAAATTAATTCAAAAAGGGTGTCAGAGGTATTTGTGCAGTGTCTTAGAGGGGCAACCAATGAATGGGATTACTAATATGATTCCGATCGTCTGTGAATTTTCGGATGTTTTTCCGGAGGAATTACCAGGGGAGTTATTAGACCGTGAAATTGAGTTTACAATCGAAATAGTGCCAGAACTCAACCCATTTCTAAAACTCCGTATAGGATGTCACCAGTTGAGATGAAAGAATTAAAGATTCAGTTACAAGATTTTGGAGTTGGGGAAGTTACAAACTCAGTTACAGGAAATTGTTAGTCAAAGGTTTTATTAGGCCTAGCGTCTCACGTTGGGGAGCACCTGTGTTGTTTGTGAAGAAGAATGATGGGTCTATGAGATTGTGTATTGATTATGGAGAACTGAACAAAGTCACAATGAAGAATAGGCGTCCTTTGCCACGTATTGATGACCTATTTGACCAATTGTAAGGAGCACATGTATTTTTCAAAATTGATTTACGGTCCGGATACCACCAATTGAAAGTTAAAGCTGATGATGTTGAGAAGATAGCTTTCCGAACCCGATACGACCATTATGAATTTCTGGTTATGCCCTTCAGAGTTACTAACACACCAGCAGCATTTATAGATCTGATGAACCGTGTCTTTAAGCCTTATCTGGATGAGTTTGTGGTACTCTTTATTGATGATATCCTTATTTATTCAAAGAATATAGAGGCTAATGAGAATCTTCTTCGCTTAATTCTTCAGACCCTTCGAGAAAAGAAGCTGTATGCAAAGCTAAAGAAATGTGAATTCTGGCTACGTGAGGTGGCCTTTCTGGCGCACGTTATTAGAAAGGATGGAGTTTCTATTGATCCACATAAAATTGAAGCGATCGTAAACTGGCCAACTTCTACTAATGTAACTGAGGTGCGTAGTTTTATGGGGTTAGCCGGATATTGCAGGAGGTTCGTCCAAGACTTCTCCAAAATTGTTGTACCGCTTACACAATTGACTTAAAAGGGAGTTGCGTTTGAATGGTCAGAACAGTCGGAATCTGCTTTCCAGGAATTAAAGACAAAACTGACTACTGCTCCAGTACTGGCTCTACCATCTGGTGTTGAGGGATTTGTGATTTACAGTGATACTTCACGTAAAGGACTTGGTTGTGTGCTTATGCAAAACGGAAGGGTTATCGCTTATGCCTCTCGACAGCTTAAACCCCATGAGAAGAATTATCCCACACATGACCTGGAACTAGCTGCAGTAGTTTTTTCTTGAAAATATGGTGACATTATCTCTATGGCACTACTTGCGAGGTGTACACCGACCATAAGAGCCTCAAGTATCTTTTTACACAAAAGGAGCTGAATATGCCACAGCGACGGTGGTTAGAACTTATTAAGGACTATGATTTGCAGATCCATTACCATCCTGGTAAAGCCAACACGGTGGCAGATGCGTTGAGTCGAAAGAATGTGGGACAGTTGGCAAATTTATTTACGAGACAAAAGGAGATGATGGTTGAATTGGATAAAATGAAAGTAGCCCTTGTGGTGCATGAATAGGAAGCCATAGTGGCGGCAGTGAGAGCCCAACCGACATTACTTGAAGAGATCAAACTACGTCAAATGGAAGATGGAACGCTACAGAAGATATGTGTTGAGATGGAGAGAAAACCAAAATCGGGATTTACTTTGAGGGATTCTATACTCAAATTTCAAAACAGAATATGTGTCCCTAATATGTTAGAACTTAAACAGAAATTGATGGAAGAATCACATGCCTCAAGGTTTTCAATACATCCAGGAAGTACTAAAATGTACCAGAATTTGAAACAAAATTTTTGGTGGCCAAGTATGAAAAAGGAGATTGCGGAGTTTGTCTCTAAATGTTTACGATGCCAGCAAGTAAAGGCAGAGCATCAGAGACTAGCAGGATTGCTACAACCCCTTCCAATTCCAGAATGGAAGTGGGAACATCTTACCATGGATTTTGTTGTAGGCTTGCCACGGACTCCTCGAGGTCTGAATTCCATATGGGTCATTGTTGACCGGTTGACCAAGTCCGCCCACTTCCTGCTTGTGAAGACCCAGTATAATGCAGATAAACTTGCTTTGATCTTTGTGAATGAAATTGTAGGGCTTCACGGTGTTCCGATCTCAATTGTGTCCGATAGAGATCCAAAATTTATTTCAAGGTTCTGGCAAAGTCTACAGGATGCAATGGGTACAGAATTAAAGTTTAGCACAGCTTTCCACCCTCAAATAGATGGACAATCTGAGAGGACGATTCAGACGTTAGAGGATATGCTTCGATTGTGTGTTCTGGATTTTCAGGAAAGTTGGGAAACTCATCTGTCGTTAGTCGAGTTTGTATACAACAATAGTTATCATTCGAGTATTGAGATGGCACCTTATGAAGCTTTATATGGAAGACCGTGTCGTTCCCCCGTGTGTTGGGCCGAAGTTGGAGATAGATCATTGCTAGGGCCTGAAATTGTGCAGTTGACAACTGAAAAGGTTCGACTTATTCGGGAAAGACTAAAAACTTCTCAAAGTAGATAGAAAACCTATGCGGATAACCGACGAAGGAATTTGGAATTTGAAGTGGATAGTCATGTGTTCGTGACAGTCACCCCAATGAAAGGACATCCGACACCTCGATATGTTGGTCGTTTCCAAATTCTAGAAAGAGTGGGTCCGGTCGCTTACCGAGTTGCCCTCCCGCCAAATATGAGCCAAGTCCATAACGTGTTCCATGTTTCTATACTCAGAGGATACCTTCTGGACCCGTCACATGTAATAGATTATCACCAAATTGTGTTAGATGACAAGTTAACTTATGAAGAGAAACCAATTCGAATTTTGGATCGACAAGTGAAGCAATTACGAAATCGAGAGATCCTAATGGAAAAAGTCGAATGGCAAGAACATTACAGAACCGAAGCAACGTGGGAAAAAGAGGAGGATATGCAACACCAGTATCCGCATCTGTTTTCGTCCTGAGGTAAACCAAGTTTGAGGGACCAAACTTATTTAAGGGGGGGAGAGTGTAATAACCCGACCCTCGCATGTGCTCCTGATATGTTTAAGTCCCTTATTTTGTGCCTTTAAATGCTTGATGAAAACAATTTGTGATTTTATCTGTTGGATAAGAAAAACATTGTGCATTTAAAATGTTTAGAATAGAAATTAGGACCCTGAGAGGTATGATAATCCGAAATTGATGTTATATTTGAGCTCAGTATAATTTTTAAGTAATATTATGCATCTCAGTGAAATTTCAATTTGGGATTATTAAACGATTGATATTTGTCCTTATTCACATTATATATAAATCTATGTTCTTAGACCTTTGACCTAAGAAGCTTCATGTTAACTATCTCTTGAGAGAGGGATTTGAGAGAGGTAAAAGTGAAGAAGATTATCAAGGAGGTTTAGAATTTGAGAGACTTATACCTCAAGGTATGTAAATTTTATGTAGATTATACCTTAATTACCTCCTCTCTTGTCTTGGCTAGGAATTCTTGGTGTATAAGTAGAATTTTTCTTGATGTGTTGATGTTAGATTGATTTAGAGTTAAATTTCATCCTATCCCTTATCTATGCATGATCATGCCCAATTATGGACTTGGGTGATCTTATTGTATAGAATTCTCCATCTTTATGTTATGCTCATGAAATGCAAGGGTCAAGAATTGAGTTGCACTCAAATAAATATACGTTGTAATACTTTGTACAAGATTTATGTTTGGCTATAGAATCATATGTCCACATGTTATATCTCCTAAATTACATGATGTTTAGACCATGTTTTATGACTCTAAAGATCTATTTTGGACCTTGTTGAAGCCATCAAAGAATTGGATTTTTGAAGAATTTCGGACAAATTTTTTGGTAGAATCGCCGCACATGCGGGAGTCACTGCCGCACGTGCGGCAATTGGGGCAAATTTTGGGCATGAACACTGTCTAAAAGGCACATGCAGGGCATCACTGCCGCACGTGCGGGATGATCTGCCGCACGTGCGGGGCTCACAGCCGCACATGCGGCCCATGTTGAAAAACATGGTTTGCTTCTTTTGACATGTTTGACCCTCTGGGATGTGTGAAATTAATATTTGAAATTTTTACAGTGTTCCTTTATTTACTGGAAGTTAACGAATGCAGTGTGAATTTAAAAGAAGGTGGAACTAATTGGTGAGTTCTGCGTGTGTA